GGCAGAGGGCGGGGTCGCTCACCGGTCCGCAGCTCGTGCTTGACAGTGAGGAGCTGCTCCCCGCGGGCGCCGCCATCCCCGCTGGTCCCCGCGGCGCCGCTGCCGCTCTCCTCCTCCATCTTCTCCCTTCACGATCCCGCGGGCTTCTACGAGGGGACCCGAGAGGCAGTGGACGCCCGGCCCCTCACAGCTCCCGCTGCAGCCCCAGGAGCCCGGGTGCGGCGGCTCCAGAACTCGGACGCGGCGAGGAGTCTCTTTCCCGCTCTGGCCGCACGGCTCGCTCCTCCGCCTCCTCCCCCTCCAGCTGGCACCGCTAGTACGGCGCAACCAAACCGCCCCTCGCTCCGCCGCCTCCTCCTTCGAGCCGCTCCGCCCACAAGCCAGCAAGGTATCGGAGCCATTGGGGCCGCCATCGCTTATTGGGCACGGGGCGCGCGCATCTGTCACTGCCGGCTCCCATTTGGCTACCGGCTCTGACGCCTCAAGAGCCGCCCCGCCCGCTCCTCGAGTTGTTGTTGCTTGGCGGGGAGGCAGGAGAGGGAGGAGCGCGGCTACTCCCATTGGTGGGGTCCGAGGTTTTGCCCCGCCTACTTCCCTTGGTGCGCACGCGCAGTCAGGACCTTCCCTTCCCTGACCTCCCCAGAGCCGTCACGCCCCTATTCCCCGGCTTCAATCTGTTAGTAAACAGTGTCTAGTAGTCGGGAGGCGCTCGGGGTCTGTGATTGGCTATTGCTGAAAGAGGCGGGAGGGCTGATTGGGACGTTTGGTCCGCCAATCACCGTGGACAGACGAGGGGCCTGGAGGGTAGCTTTTCTCACGCACGAGATTGCAGGACAAACCTGAGGGTCCTAGGTAGCGACGCACAGGTATGTCATCAGCTGGAAGACAACGTGTCTTAAAAAGGTGTGACTCGCTGTAGTGAGCCCTAAACAAGTTAAGCGGCGTTTGTGCTTAAATACAGGTAGTTTTTAGCAAAAATTCACCCCAGCTCTAGATGAGGACTTTTGCAAAGAATAGACATTTCCATTTTATACAAGACACATACTAGGGACCAAAAGGATGCCCAGATTAATAAAATGCAATACAACCCCTGCTCCTAAGCAGCTGTCAATAGAACGTGAGAAAAAAAAAGACAATCTGTGTATATATACACAGGAAACTGTAAAGCAAAATTTGAAATAAAAGTCATACAGACTGTTAGAGAATTGCACCAATGGCAATAATTATTGTCAGTATTGGAGCTGGGGAAGGCTTTTAGGGCAAGGAGGCATTTGAGATAACCAATTTAAAGGATGGGCAAGGTGGAAATACCAGAAGCAGGCATTTCATACAGAGGTGGTAACTGTGAGCATAGACGTTCAGGTAAAAAGGCAGAGGTGGGTTAAGTGATAGATAAGGCTGATGGAGCATGCTGGAAGAGATACAGCTGAAAAGGTAAGGTGTGGAGGATCTTGACTACCACGCTAAGCACTGCATATTTTATTTAGTTCAGGACGGGGAGCTTCAAACAGTAGTTGCAATATCAAAGCTGTTCTCTTGGAAATTAGTGGGAAGGACGGACAGAAGGGACGGGGAGAAAGAGAGCAGGGTGAAAACACTGTTGCAGGGATAGAACTTACGGGGGCCTAATTTCTGGCAGTGGACATGAGAATAGGAAAAGGAGAGGTTGAAAGATGGACACTTGGACATCACTCACATAGAAGTGACCTTTTAAACTAAGCATGGGCTAGATCAGAAGTCAGCAGAGTTTTTCTGTAAAGGACAAGACAGTAAATATTTTAGGCTTTGCTAACCATGTGGCCTCTCACAACCACTCAACACTGCTATTGAAAGCAGCCATAAGCAGTAAATAAACTAATGGATATGGCTGTGTTCCAATAAGACTTTATTTATGGACATTGAAATTACATTTCACATAATTTTCACATGTCACAGTATGCTTACTCTTTTCAACCATTAAAAATATAAAAACCATTCTTAACTCTTGGGCCACTGAAAACAAACAAACAGGCAGTAATCCAGATTTGGCCTGCAAGTCATAGTTTGCAGACTCTTGGATTAGATTGCGTGGAAGATAAAGCAGAGAATCCTCCCAGCCCCTTCAGGTTGCTCTCAGCTCCCTGAGCTTACCTCTCTGGAACACTTATCCTGCTAACCCAGTGATTTTCAACCTTTTTCATCGCATGGTACACATAAACTAATTACTAAAATTTGCAGCACACCAAAAAATATAATTTTTGCTGATCTGACCAAAAAAAAAGGTATAATATTGATTCATTCACACCAGACGGCTATTGTGTTGGCTGCTGTCATTTTTTCATTTGACAATGTAAGGGAAAAGAGGTCAGTGCCCCTCACTAAATACTTAGGTATTGCATGTTTTAAAAATTCCTGTGGCTCCCGGCCGGGCATGACTCAGCGGTTGAGCGTTGACCTGGGATCCAGGCGATCGGGGTTCAATTCCCGGTTAGGGCACATGCCCGGGTTGCGGGCTCGATCAATGACTCTCTCATCATTGATGTTTCTATCTCTGTCTCTCCCTCTCCTTTCCTCTCTCTGAAATCAATAAAGATATATAAAAAATAAAATAAAATTCCTGTGGCACACCAGTTGAAAGTCATTGCACTAAACCCTGACTGCCTACTTATTTGTCTTCTCCACAAGTGTGCTATTTGTAGCTAGGGGATACTGTGTGCAACTGTTCTTTTGTTCACTCAATCACTTTTACACCAGTGATATAATAAGTACTGTGGTAGATACCAGAGGCACAGTGGAAGCAAAACGTGCAATCCTTGCACGCGCAGGGCCTACAGTCTAGAAATGGAAATACATCTTAAGTCACGACATAAGGAAATGTAAACTTTGCATTGTGATCATGCTGTAAAGGAAAATTATAGTGTGCTACAATAAAATTTATCAGGGTCCTAATTTAGGTCAGAGGAGCTTGAATGCCATTATAAGGAAGTACTATTTAAGCTGATTCTTAAAGATGAGTAGGTTTTAACCAGGATGTGGCAGAGACTGGCCTGATGTTCACCAATCTCATTTCCTCTTCCTGGACACACAGGAGAAGTGCAACTTTTTTTCCTTTGCAATTAGGCTAGGGTCATGTGACTGATATGGCCAATGGGGTATGGGCAGATATGATGTGTGCCATTTCCAGACCTGGCAGAGAAAACCCCATGCATAATCCCTCACACTCTCTTCTCTTTCCACAGCACTACAAAGGTCACATTATGAATATGGGGGTGCCACAGTTTAGAAGAACCCTGAACCGCTGGGTCTCCACTAGAAGAAGAGCCACCCTGACCTACATCACACTGTCATATGAGCAATAAATAAATCTTATTAGGCATAAGCTACTGCGATGTTGGGGGTTGTTTGCTACCAAAGCATAAGCTAGCCTATCCTGATGATTTCACAAGTGAATTGTTGGGGAGGGAAAATTCTAAGAAGGCGCAGATGCAAAGGACTGAGGCAGGCAAAGAACCTATTTTAGGGACTGAGAGAAAGGCAATAGGGTCATAACACAGAAAGCAAGAGATGAGGTGTGGGAGGCAGGCAAATACCCAGTCACAAAGCGTGCGCTAGGACTTATATTTTTGGAGTTTTTTTCCTGTGTGAAGTCAAAAGCAATGGAAGAAGTTTAAACAGGGGAATGATATAATTGGGGTAGCATTTTTCAAAAGGTTGCTGTGGTTACTGGTTAGTGGACTGGAGGGGCAAGAGGCAATAAAGGGAGACCCGATAGGGGGTTATCACTGTAGCCTGGGCAACAGATGATAGTGGATGTAGTAAATATGGAAAGAAATGGAATGTTTCTAGATATGTACTTTGGACTTCACGAATTACTGGATTTGGTGGGTGAGGGATAAAAGGATGTCTGCAATGACACCTAGTTCCTAGCATGAGGAGCTGGGTGGATAGAAGAGAATGCTGGTACCGTTTAAGGAGAGGGGTGAGTTGAAGGGAAAGCATGTCTCAGAGAGAATATCAAGACTTTAAATGCTAAATATCCAATGCCAGTGTTAAATAGCCACGTGGGTATATGAGTCTGGAGAACTACAGAGAGGTCTAGCAGAGAGATATAATGTTAGGAATCCTTGGCAAAAAGGTGGTATTTGAGGCCAGGGGTATGAGTAGGATTCCCTGGGGAGAAAATGAGAAGAGGAGCCCAGGACTGAAGCCTAAGAAATTTCATCACTGAGCTGTTGGAGTGAGAAAGTGGAGCCAGAGATGTAGGAGGAAAACTTGGAGAGTTTTAGATGTTGGAAGCCAACGCCATGTTTCAAGGAGGCAGTGGTCAGCTATGGCACATGCCCTAAGAGGTCGCATAAGATGAGGTCTGGAAAGAGCCCATGAATTTGCCAACTTGTGTGCCATTGGTGACAATATCCAAGGCAGTTTGGGTAGAGCAAATGAGACGTGGAATACAAACAGTGTGTGTGGGCATCTTTTTCAAGGAGTTTGCCTCTGACAGAAAATAGAGAAGGAAGACCCCAGCTGTAGGAACCCAGGGAGTTTTTAAATTTATTTTTTATTTTCAAATAATTTTAAAATTGCAGAAGCGGTTCAAAAACATTACAGAATTTCCACACATCCTCCAAGGAGCTTCCTCTAATGTTAATATGTTACATACCGTAATTCAATCATCAAAAACTGAGAAATTTACATTGTTATGATGTTATTAAATGAACTGCAGACTACAAATTTCATCACTTTTTCCATAAAAATAGTTTTTATATTTTTAAATGGTTCAAAAAGAATTAAAAGAAGACGAGTAGACCATGACGTGTGAAATTTAAATTTCAGTGTCCATGAAGTTTTATTGGAACACAACCATGTTCTTTCTTTGCACCAGGATGCAGTCCAGGATCCTACACCATATTTAGTTGTCATGGCTCCTTAGTCTCTTCCAGTGTGAAACAATTCCTTAGTCCTTCCTTACTTCCATGACCTAAACTCTTTTGAAAAGTACTGGTCAAGTATTCTGTGGAATGCCCTTCGATTTGGGTCTGTCTGATGTTTTCTTATGATTAAATTAAAATTACCCATTTTGGGCAAGAATACCACAGAGTTGATGTGCTCTTCACCAACTCACCATATCAGGGGTGCGAGT